CAGAGTTACTCAGTAAAATCGGAATACCATATGGTAAATCGTTAATTTGCAAAATATCAGTTCATCATATCGAACTGGACTGTTCCTGTTGCAAAACATCAATTCATTGTCACTATTAATGCGTTTCATACAAATCCAATTGTGTTCTAACTCTTCCTTTCTTGATCTTCCCCCATCTTCTGCTGCCAGACATTACGTTGACGCTCACGTCATATACAACTGATAAGTAGCTCGCACCACAGTAGTAGTAGTAGTAGTAGTAGTAGTAGTAGTAGTAGCTGTCAACGTCATCTTTATTTACATCATTAACTTCAATGGTTTATAGTTGTTTCTTTTATTTTCTTCAAAGTTGTCAAACAGTCAATTTATAATAGTTAACAATGAATGAATGATCCTGGTGTAATTTGTTAATTTCATTTTGTAATATTTAGATAGTTGCTTATTTGAAAAAAACTTTTTATGTAGCCATTAGCATAGATGAATTGCTATTCATTAAAATTATCTATTAATTGATTTAGAAACCTCTTCTTGTAATTTAGTCGGTGGATGCATTGTACGCGCTGGTTTCGTCCTAAGTATGAGACTCTTCAGCAGTGTACATCCACGACCATCGCTCGTGGGAATTGAAAGCTTAACCTATAGAACACTAAGTCGGCATTGAACGGTTTTATTATCCAACTTCGTTCATTCCATGTTATTTCGTGGCGATCGACGGGTAAATGCCTCGGATCCTACCCGGTTGAATTTCAGTAGTCGTGGCTTTTCACTAAAACTGCGAGAATTTCACTACGAAGCTAGTTACTTGTAACTATGGGGTTATGTTGATTGTTGAGTTATTTTGTGTCCATATATAACAATCTTATTTACAATGTAGGTATGATGGAATCAATCTAACTGCCTACCGGTGATAATGGATGTACGTATCGTTCAACTTACCTTATGTTTTACTTTACAATCGCGTGTTTATCATTCACTCTGTTACCCACTTACTCATTCCTGTTACCCCCAATAGAGCTTAGGCCGCCGATCAGTATTCTCCAATCTTTTCTATCACAGGCTTCCCTTTCTGGTTTCGTACAATTTTTGTTCATTCTTCTCATGTCTGTCCTAATATCTCGGCGTAAGGTGTTCCCTGGCCTCCCTCTTTTCCTTTTAGCTAGAGAGTTCTTAGTTAGAGCTTGTTTTGTGAAGTAGTCCAGGGGTTTCCGCATTGTGTGTCCTATCCACTTCCAGCGCTTTTTCTTGATTTCTTCCTCCACTGTAATGTGGTTTGTTCTTTCTCACAATTCATTGTGTTAGGTCGTCAGAATATACAGTATTTAACTCGAATGCCTACCAACCAACGGGTTGTTTTAGGGAAGTCAACTGAAAAAATTAGATGATAGTGAAATTTACTTATCTCATTAGCGACAAGTTCATTTTCACAACTTTGCACGGCATTTAACTTAAAGCTTCCGAAAAATATTTCCAAAATATCATTTGTTTACTTACTATCAATTTAAGTAGTAAAATATGTAGTAAAAAATTAATCAATTTTCAACAGGGATCATAGATTTATGTATCATATTTAAAAACAAGGTCCCATCTCACCATCCTTGTCACCACCAGCTACTGCTGCATGTCTGGCTAGTACTAACATCTTAAGTTGAATACAACTAATCAAACTAAGGATCATAATGAATTTGATCTTAAGACATTTTTGTGTGTTTGAATTAAACTCATGGTCAAAATGATGAGTTGAATACATCGACTGACACTTCTATATTTTTTATAGACACTTCATGGTTTTAGTTAAGTGTACCAGTATGACCGATTTTGACCAATGAATTTCATTCAATCTACATGGACCAATTAACCGACTGAATCTATTAGTACCAGTCAATTATTTCAATAGAAGTCAGTCAATTAATTACAACGTAGAACTTCGTACATGAGTACATAAGTTCAAATTGCCATACCTCATCATCACAGAGACGCATTTGCCAGGTCAAATCCCATAGTGGTAGAGATAGTATAAGTATTAGTAGTAATAGAGAATTAGGGTTCGAAGATATGATTTGAGAAGTATAGTTCAGTGAGATGACTTTAGAAAGAGGAAGATAGAGGAGTTTCGAATTTGAGAGAACACAATGAATGAATGCACCTGCGACACTGCAAAAGATTTTGAGCCGTGTCATTCAAGGTCTCTAACCATCGGTGACTATCGTCTCACGGACACTAAGCAGGTAGTCTACATCTACCAACATGACTCAGTCCACTTGTCAGTGACTTCATGAATTTCTGCCATGTTTTGGTTTGACCGCCACTAGCTTTCTTCCTACCTACTCCTACAACAAAAAATATTTCTCGTCGAAGCACTCGGTGGTTGGTCATTCCTAACGGATGTGCCAACCACCTCAACTCATGAATTTTTACTACTTTCAGCTGAAAACTGGCATCCATGGAATTCATGCAAACTGTCCAACATATTTGTGTCATGTAACATTAAAAAATATAAACATGTAGTACTTTTAAATGACTGAAAGCTTCTTCAGTGGTTGGAAGAAAGTAGGTTAAATACCTTTTTTCAACGTTGCCCGACCGTAGCTGCTGCCTTGACGTGGTGGTCGGGCTTGCCTATCGTGATGGCCAAGCCGAGCTATACTGACTGGAACATATATTCCTGAAGGTTCTACCATGCCAGGCAGGTCGATTGGAGAACGATCAGACTAAATGCAGCTACTCGAGTTCTGAGTGGGAAGTCGTACTGCTGACTGCAGACAGGTGTGACAGCAGTAAGGTGTTTCCCTCGGTCAACCAGCATCTGCAGCGATGCTGCCTTCTCACAAAGAAGGAAAGGTTAGAAAAGGTCGACCCTAAAAATGTCACACCTCATCCTACCTCACGGATTTCCGTCTCCTTGGGTAAGGGTGCCCACTAAGGGCCTTTAAGAGCGGAACTAATACTCAAAAAACCCTTCATAAAAAGGCCGTGTGTGACCGGGCTCAAGCAGTTGTCCCTTCGACTCTGCGGTCACGCACCCAGGTCTCTACGACCGACGCTAATATACCTTTTTTTCAGGTTCCTCAAGAAACAACCTTCCACGGTGTGGGCAGCCGGGAACTGACAACCGCCCTCATACCCGTAACAGCACGCGAGACCAAATTGGTCTGTCTGTCTGTCTGGGGCCAGGAACTTCATCTAAGAAGTTCATTTATTCTAATTTTACTAATTAGTAATTAATATATTTTTATCATGGTCCCAAGTGAGTTTTCATTTCATTTTCTTTCAGTAATTTACATTATATGTATGTCAATCTAATGTAATATACTTACTTCCAACTAACTATTCACGATATCAATCATAAAATGATTAACTGAAGCAGAGTATGTGTTAAATTTCTTTGTAGTTTAAAAAGAAACTGAAATTATGAATTGTGTACAATTCAGTAAATGATTATACGTGTACACTTGACCGAATAATCAACATGACCATTTGAAATATTACGCGAATTCACATCATATAACAAACTATTTTGAACAAATTTATTAAAAATGATAGATGTATATTTTGCGAGTAGCAGAAGTCGTCGATGCGCACTGCTGATGAGCTAGTCCCATATGCCAGGATGAAATGGCCATCCACTGGTTCCAAGTTTCTAATGTGAAATGGTCTAACAATGATTTGTTAATGAATTATACTTCTCAAACTTCTCAAACCACTAATAATTCCACTACCTCTACCACATTGGGATTTGAATTGACACACTTGCATCTTTTTGTTAATATGTTATGGCAACCTGAACTTATTTACGTGCGTACGAAGTTCTACTTCGTAACTGACTGACTGAATGATATTTCAGTTAATACTCTAGTTATTACACAATTCTCTACTGAATTAATTAACACTTTGTTGAACTTATCAATTTTTAAATTTCTATTGTATGTTTTGTGAAATACACACGTTATATACTTTGATTCAATGTTTGAAATTTCAAATCGTTATGATTATGCTCCTGGAGCATGGGATACCGACCGACCATCTCCAAATCAATTCTATCTTCCACTCTCCTTTCTAGTTGTTGTTGTTGTTATTCGCTCTTCATTCTTTTGATTTCTGCCTGTAATTCATGATGTTATGTGTTTTTCTTGTCTACCTCCTATCGATTTTGCCTTTTGCATTCTATTTGAGGTCTTGGGTTATTTCCACAATGTATGTCCTATACGTCTTTAGCACTTTCTCCTAATTTCTTTTTCCCCTGAAATCTGGTTTGTTCTCTACCGCAGTAGGTTATTGCTGATAGTGTCTGGCCAATGGATCCGGAGTATTTTGCATAGACAGCTGTCAGTAAACACTCGTCGTATCTTCCGACTGATGGCTTTCTTAGGTCTCCAAGTTTCTGCCCCATACAGTAAAACAATCTTGACATCTTGTATTGAACATTGTGAATTTCATGTTTGTTGACAGACAGTTGTTTCAAGTTCCAGATACTATTCAATCGTAGAAATTCAGCCCCTGCTTTGTCGATCCGTGCCTTCACATTTAGATCAATGTGTAGATTTTATGTGTCAAAGATCAGATCTTGTGTTTATTTAGTAGACTTATCAAAGATATATAGACTTGCTTACTTACTTATATACGCCTTTTACTCCTAATGGAGCATAGACCACCGATTAATAAGTTATTTTTCTGGTTAGCATTTTTATTTTAATGAATCGGATTTCAATGAGATGGGGTAGCTGACGCTCATGCCTCTAACCCTTCTCCTTTATCCTGGCTTTGGACCGGCTGCAGGCGGAGATCGAAATATAGACAATACTGTTTTCGTTGTAAACGTATTTTGGCATTTCGTCCATATAGTGAGGCATTATATATCTGTTTCTGTAGATTAAATAAAGCTATACATGACTTTATTACACAATCCCCCCCTATCCCCCCCTTTCGAGTTTTGATTAACACTGTTCTTTCTTCTTTGTTCTTCTCGCTCCAATTTTTATTTTCCAATCAGATGTATCATATGTATGTGTGAATATGAAGAAGGTGAAGAGTTGCGTTATCTGCCTTGTTTGCATACATATCATCGTATTTGTATTGATGATTGGTTAATGCGTGCATTAACATGTCCTTCATGTTTAGAAGAGATACGTCCTAATTCACCAATCAAAATTCATTCTACCACTACTGCTACTACTATTAACAATAATACTAATAATAGTAATAATAATAATAATAATACTGAATCCGTAGAGAATACTACTGTTACACAATCAACTGAACATTCATGTCAACAATCACAACCACAACAACAACCACATGACAGTCAACCAACCAATGAATTCCATCGACGAACTCATATAATAGAACGACGTTCTAGAAATATGCAATCGTCAACTGTATGCAGAGGAGATACAGATACAATACAACAATTTATTTCGGAACGATTAAAACCTTCCACAAATAATAACAACAATAGTAGTAATAATAATAATAATGGTACTCATACTAGTAGACGTCGTTATCATCCTCAACAACAACATCCACCATCAAATCGACGTACACGTTCGAGCGGTCCCAGTAGACGACCCTGTTCTATGAATGCATTCAATACAATTTTACCGTATAATTATCGTCGTGGTCATAGTGTCACAGCGATTGATACACTTCAGTCAAATTGTACAACAACTAACAATCAATGAGGATAGTGAAAAAAGCAGTAAAATGAAAATATCTTATCGAAAAAAAATATATATATGCATATATTTACACATATATGATTCTCATATATTCAAGACCAAATGAACAGATCAGTAATTTGAGTAAGTTTAAAGCTTAGTGATTAGAGTTCATTTCTATTGGTACTGTTGAATATATATATACTGATGATCGAAGACTAGTAACCTACGAATGTCCTCTAATCTTAATGGCCATGTTTCGCATCCGTATAGTAGGACAGAGCGAACTGCTGCACAGTAGACTCGTCCTTCAGTCAGCGAACGGATATCTCGCCTACGCCATAAGTGACGCAGGTTGGCAAAAGCCAACCGAGCCTTCTGTATCCGTGCTGAGATTTCGTCAGTCACCAGGCCATCGGCACTGATGAGACTCCCCAGATAAGTGAAGCGGTCTACACGCTCGACTACTTCACTCCCTATCAGGTGCCGACGCAACCCAATCCTGAAGCAACATTTTGCATTTCGAGGGTGAGAACCGCATCCCGAACATGCTTGCATTGTTGCTTAGGGTGGTCAGAAGACTCTGCATTTTGTCAGCATCTTCACCAAGTAGGACAATGTCATCGGCATATTCTAAGTCAATTAGCTATCCTCCTGGTAAAAGGTCTACTTCCAAAAATTCAGACGAGGATAAGGTTATATTTGGGAACTTGTCTATGATAAAATTAAACAAGGATGGAGAAAGTGGACATCCCTGACGGACACCACTTGATGTAGAGAATTCCGGTGACAGTTCGCCATAAGCCATCACTCGACCAGTGGTGTTCGAGTAAAGGCCTGTATAAGGTTAATGTACTTCTTTGGTACACCTTTCAATGACAGACACTGCCACAGAACCTCACGATCCACTGAGTCGAATGCCGCCTTAAGGTCTAGGAAAACAACTATTGTAGGACGCCAAAATGTGTGTCTATGTTCCAGGACCTGTCTGAGTGTGAAGATGTGGTCTATACAGCCACGACCAGGTCGAAAACCAGCCTGGTTTTTTCGAGTTTGCTCTTCACGAGTTTTCGTTAAGCGTCGAAGTATTACTGAGGACAATATTTTAGATACTATATTAGTTAGACTTATTCCGCTGTGATTGTCACAAGAAGACTTTTGTCCTTTCTTATAGATTGGAACAATCAGTGATTGAGACCAGTCGGATGGGATTACGTCCAGTTCCCAGATTCTACCTAAGATCTTGGTCAACCTAGTTGCTAAAACTGGACCACCATCTTTAAATATCTCAGGGGTCAGTCTATCAGGACCTGCAGCTCGTCCTCGTTTCAGATTTCCTAACGCTTTCTCAACGTCATTAAGACTAGGGGGACTTACGTCGATTTGCCATTCAGGATGACTGGAGATCGTGGGTAACCGTTAGATACCGGCTCAGTGGTCTAACGGTTAGGTAATTCAAATATAAGTAAGATGTCTTCTAATGAAATGAAACAATTGTCTAGTGCATCCCCCGTTTGTTTTTCTTCTTCTAATGATACTGATATTGTAGTAATTTAAGTTTCTTTGAAAAAAATGTTTCTTTTCTTCCCAGTGTGAATCCCATTCATGAATCATTGAATAAATGAAGTTAGTTTTAATTACTAGCTGTGTTAATCAATGATTTCAATCGAACACAGTCAAACTAGTCTTGCATATTATTGAAATTTGTACAGATTTTGAAAGACAAATCAATGAACAATGATCCATATTGTGAGAGAATGCCCTAGTGTCTTGTTTCTTGTTTTTTTTCCCGCTTATTCCTTACCCACAACTGCCAATCCATCGACATCATCGTTATCCTCACCGCCGATCACACCGCCACCGTGTCAACAACCACAAGAACGGTGTTAGCAGCAATGACCTAATTATTTTTAAATGATTTTCAATTGGCTATTATTTTTCAATGCTTACTACTACCATTTTATTAGTCACAGTTATTATTTGTAAAAAAAATTCCACACCATTGAACGAACACATGTTTATTCCTTTGCTGCAATCGGATTAGAATGTGTGTTTATGCTCTGTTCTATTGTGCTCTTATACACACACGCACCCACACACACTTACTACCGGTGTTATAGGTTTGAGTAATTTTGTTATCTGTCGTGTATTATTATTCCATCCTCCCAACTGACCTTCCTTTGTTGTTCACACTTATCCATCCAAAAAAAACAACTAGTTGTCTTCTAGTCAATTAAAACAACGTTTATATTTATTGATTGTACAATGAATGATAAACTAACTGGCTTATAACACTTCTTGTTTTGCAAAAAAACAATTGTAGTTTTTGAATAGTCGACATTGAACTTGTATTTTGTTTAAAGTTCTCTCTTTCTTCCTGTCTCCCTCTCTCTCTCTCTCTCTGAGCTTATTGATCATCATTCATTATTCAACGCGCTGTTTTCACAAAAACTATTTCATCACTTCCCGTTCTCTCTGTACGGTTGAGAAGACTGAGGCAGGCGCGCAAAATGGTATTATGCAAATTTACACTCTTAGTCAATTAAAAAAGGAAAACATGACATTGAATACTCTATTTGCACACCATCTTTGAGCCGTGACTTCCAACGCTCCATTCTTCTTCCATTCCTGTTGTTGCCTTCTTTCCCTTCCTGTTTGTACTTCATTTACTTCTTGCTTTTGCTCCATTTGCTTTCCGTTTTGCTCTTCTGACCGTGAGACTTTTTCTTTCACGTCCCCCTTCTTATACTACTTATATCGTTCGTATAAGTAGCACACACCACACGGTGACACACATGCACTCACAAGGTGTTGTGTATGTAAATTACCAATGATCTTATGTATATATATATATATAATATATGCTGCGTATGATTGATACATTCAATTCAATGTTCACGACGGCGTATAGAAATTGACAATTGAACACATTGGTTTTTTTTTGTATTATAATAACAAATTTTTCTTGTTCTTGTTTTTATAGCTTATTTTTGTGTGTACAAATTGACAATTTCTTTTTACACACACACTCACTGGCCAAAATCCAATTTGCCTTTCATGATGATTTGATTATTTTATTTTATGTTTTTATCGTTGCACAAAATGCCTCTTTAACATTTTTTTTCTCCCTTGTTTGTACAGTAAAAAAGAAAGCAAAAAATAAAAATGATATTTGTGCTTTTTTTTCTCTTCTCTGGTCATGTTGTGTACATTTCTGCCAATGAATGAATGTTTCTGGCTGTTGCTTTTTCTGTTTTCTTTTGTTTTTTTGTATTTCTACTTTTGTTTATATTTTTTTCTATATATATATATATTCACTGTTCAATTTTTTTTCGGTTTCAGTTTCAGTTTCGTTTTCCTGTTATCCTACTTTTTGTCGATATAAGAGTGTTTGTTGTATGTAGTGAAGGAAGGAATAAATAAAGTATGAATTACTAGTTAGTTAGTTAATTAGGCAAGTGAATTAAGTCGGTATGCTTCTTTTGTAATTGTATTGTATTGAATTGAATTGATTCGAATTGCCGCGTGTACTTTGTTCAAGGTGACTTAAGATCTGTACATTGTTTTGTTTTGTGTTTGTGTGCTTTTCCCTCCTGTTTGATGTAAAAAGTAAAAAAAAACCCACTTATTTTCTTGTACACTTTCTTTCTATTTGCTTGCTATGTTTTTTGTCTTGTGTTATTTGTGTGGTTTGGTTTGGTTTGGTTGATATATTAGGTGATTTGCTTAGTTCAGAGTAAAACAATCCATAGGTAAGGAATAAAAAGATGGACAGTTGATTGATCAGTTTGTGCTGATTTGATTTTACGACAAATTCGGTTTTTTGGTTATTGTAACCTTTTGTGTAAGAAGAGTTGTGTTTGTGAAATTTCAATTTGTATTGACTTGTATTGAGAAAAAAAACGGTTTCGTAATGTAATATTCTGCAGATGATGTGTTCTGAAATGACAAAGTGTACTATCATCCTGAAATGGCACTGAAAGACGGCCATTTCGTCCTGGTGTATGGGACTGGCTCATCAGCAGTGCGAATCAACGACTCCTGCATCTCGCAGGATTCTAACCCATGACCGTCGGTCTTGCTCGTGAACGCCTAATCTACAGACCACTGGGCCAATGATTAACTGATGATTTCAATGTGCAAAAAGCTCTAATCTCCATAACTCTAACTGAAAAATCGTACTATCATACGTCAACATGAAAGGGATATTTACTAGAAACAGGAATCAAGCTTTTAACATCAACGGATCTCATTATTCTACACTTCCGAATTATCCCTAAATTATACAAAATGATCTGGTTATAATTGTACTGTATCAAACTTACGTATTCTTTCGTACAGTAAGATAATTTCTTAGGTAATTGTACTTGACTATTTGCCGAATCAGTGCAAAAACAAATCATTGGTGAATATATATGTATATATATATATACATACTTTCGTCTGTTACCCCCAATGGAGCATAGGCCGCACACCAGTTTTCTCCAACCAACTCTGTCCTGGGCTTCCCTCTCCAGTTCTGTCCAATTCTTGTTCATTCTTCTCATACTTTTCTCTATTTCTCGGCGTAATGTGTTCTTTGGCCTTCCTCTTTTCCTTTGACCTTGAGCGTTTCATGTAAGGGCTTGTCTCGTGACGCAGTTGGGTGCTTTACGTAGTGTGTGTCCTATGCACTTCCACCGCTTCTTCCTGATTTCCTCCTCCACTGCAATCTGGTTTGTTTTCTCCCACAGTACGTTGTTGCTGATGGTGTCTGGCCAACGAATACGAAGTATTTTGCGTAGACAACTGTTAATAAACACTTGTATCTTCTGAATGATGGCTTTGGTAGTTCTCCATGTTTCCGCTCCATAATGTAGGACTGTCTTGACATTTGTATTGAAAATCCTGATTTTGGTGTTGATTGATATTTGTTTGGAGTTCCAGATATCTTTCAACTGTAGAAATGCAGCCCTCGCTTTGCCAATCCGCGCCCTCACATCTGCATCGGATCCACCTTTCTCGTCGATGATGCTGCCCAGATATGTAAAGTTGTTAACGTCCTCTAAAGCATCTCCATCAAGCGTGATTTGGTTGGTGCATGTTGTGTTTCATCGGAGAATTTCGCTTTTTCCTTTATGTATGTTGAGACCTACTGCTGCAGAGGCTGCTGCTACACTGGTCGTCTTCTCTTGCATTTGTTGTTGAGTGTGCGACAGAAGAGCCAAGTCATCTGCGAAGTCCAGATCGTCCAGCTGAGTCCTAACTGTCCAGTTGATACCGTGCTTCCCTCCAGACGTCGACGTCTTCATAATCCAGTCGATGACCAGGAGAAAGAGAAAGGGTGAGAGTAAGCAACCTTGCCTGACACCGGTCTTAACCTCAAAAGAGTCTGTCAGCTGACCTCCGTGCACGATTTTGCAGTTGAATCCATCATAAGAATTCCGTATGATGTTGACTATTTTCTCAGGCACACCGTAGTGTCGAAGAAGCCTCCACAGTGTTTTCCTATCCACGCTATCAAATGCTTTCTCGTAGTCGATGAAGTTGATGTAGAGTGGTGAGTTCCATTCAATTGATTGTTCCACAATGATCCGTAATGTAGCAATTTGGTCAGTACATGATCGATCCTTACGAAATCCGGCCTGTTGATCTCGAAGTTGGGCGTCTACGAAGTCCTTCATTCTGTTTAACAATACTCTGTTGAAGACTTTGCCTGGTATTGAAAGAAGAGTGATGCCTCTGTAGTTCTCACACTTGCTGAGATCGCCTTTCTTTGGTATTTTGATGAGGTATCCTTCTTTCCAATCTGATGGTACTTGTTCCTCATCCCAAATCTTCTTGAAGAGGATGTGAAATATTTTCGCAGTTGCTTCTACATCTGCTTTGATTGCCTCTGCTGGAATGTTGTCTGGTCCTGCTGCTTTGCCGCTCTTGATTTGTCTGATGGCTATACTGATCTCCTCAATCGTAGGTGCGCCAATATTAATTGGGAGGTCCTTGGATGCTGCTTCGATGTTGGGTGGGTTCAGTGGAGCTGGTCGATTCAATAGTTCCTTAAAGTGCTCTACCTACTTATTTCGCTGTTGTTCAGTGTTGCTGATTACTTTGCCTTCCTTGCTTTTCACTGGTCGTTCTGGTTTACGATAGTTTCCGGCGAGCTTCTTTGTTGTATCGTACAATTGTCTCATGTTTCCTTCGCTTGCAGCCTTTTCCGCCGTCATTGCTAGATCTTCCACATATTTTCGTTTGTCAGCTCTGATGCTCTTCTTCACTTCCCTGTTTGCTTCCGTGTATTCAGCTTGTGCCTTAACTTTCTCTGCTCTTGTTCGGCTGACATTCACTGCTGCCTTCTTGTTCCTCCTTTCTTCAATTTTTGCAAGAGTATCAACAGAGATCCATTCCTTGTGATGGTGCTTCTTGCGACCAAGGACCTCCTGACATGTTGAAGTGATTGCCTCCTTAATCCCTTTCCAATTGTTCTCCAATGTTGCTTCCTCTCCATTGAGTAGATCCTGAAAGGCCTGGAACCTATTAGTGAGGGCTACCTTGAATTCGTTGAGTTTTACAGTATCCCGAAGAAAGGCCGTATTAAACTTGTGTGATGTTGTCTGCCCCGTTGTCCAGTGCTTCTTTAGCTTCAGTCTCATTTTGGCGATCAGCAAGTGGTGATCTGAAGCTATATCAGCTCCTCT